TTATTATGTTGTGTTATAAGAGAGGTTGTCAATTGATTCATGTTTTAGGGGTTTAAGTTAATGTTTTATTATGAAATTTACAATGGTTTTATTTTTATTGTAATTTGTTTCTTTTATTTTATTTTATTATGTTATAAGTGTTGAGATTTGTGTTGTTGTTTGATTTTTATTGTTAAGTTGTATTTTGTTTGTTGGGCCCCAGGAATGGGGACCCGTTAATAAAATAAATAAATTTAAAAAATGTAAACATATAAACAACTTTTATCTGTGTAAAATGAAAGCAGGCAGATCCTGTCACGGATTAAAGGAACAGTTTAAAAGAAGAAAGATATTTTCGGTCAGATTACAGTTCCTGAGCTGAGGGAGAACAGGACAAACACAAAGCAGGTGTGAGCGTCAGGATATTAGGAGCAGGTGTGTGAGAAACAAGGACCGAGAGGAGACTCGGAAAACTCTGGTTTATTTGTGTTCCTGATGGTTTTAACATTTAACATTTTCCTAAACATCTTTTAGAGAAATGCAGAATTATTTGAAGTTTGTATAAAAAGTCTGCTTTTTCTGTAAATAAACTGTTTTTTTCTCAGATTTTTCTAATTTGAGTTGTTATTATTAAAGGTCTGAGCAGATCAAACAACCACTCTGTCTCCTCCTCCTCCTCCTCCTCCTTTCTTTTCTCCTCCCTCCTCCCTCCTCCTGTCACTCACTTTTTCCAGGTTCTGGATCCACTTCAGGACCCTCCCCCGGTTCGGATGCTCGGCTGGATTTCTCTCCAAACGTTCGGAGTGTTTCTGCAGGACTGAAGCTGTTTTCTGTTGGATTTCATCAGAAAGAAGTTGTTTCCTGTGATGAACTGAATGTGTTGTTCGGTCTGAGGTGAGTGAAGCCACATCTTTTCTCTGAGCTGTGGATGTTTGGATGGGCTTATGTTTTATGCAGAAATTCAGTTTGAGGAGAAAAGGATGCAAACATTAAATATGAGCTGCTTTAAACAGCAGAATGTGGATCTTTTTTTAAAGCAGAGGAGCCCAAAATGGGGCCCGCGGGCCAAATTTGGCCCGCCAAGCCATTTGATTTGGCCCACCAACAGTTGCCAAAGTTACAAGGTTGTAACCTGTTATCCTATGTAGAAACACAGTTTCCATTGGTGAAATGACTTTTAGTATTTTAAAGATTTGTTCTCAGAAAGAGGAACTTTTTATTTAGGGAGACCGGGGACAGTTGCAACACTTTTTACATTTGACTCTGTTACTCAGAGTTGGTTTGAATTAGACAAACCAAATTTTAATACAATAAACTTACATCTGTCTGTTAATAGTCAAAACCATTTATAGATGATTAAAGCATGTACATTCTTCACAATTTGCATTTGAAAATGAAAAGTCAGATGTTGCAACTGACCCCTGTGCCGGGGACAGTTGCAACATTGTTTAGGGGTGGTTACAACATATTATTAATACAATATATTTCACTGTGAATAAAAGTTTTATTATTTTTATCTTTATATTATTGCTAAATGAATAAAAACTGTAAGTTATAATGATATTAGTGTTGTTTATTTATTGTTTTTGATCAAATGATGAATATAGATTAGCCTTGATGAGTAGACCTTATATACAGATGTCAAAGACTCTAATTGATATAAAATACAGTTGACTTTTAGACACAAGGATAACAGAACAATTTGTGAGACAATTAACTTTAGTTTTGTCTATTGTCACTGTACGCCTCCATTATGTAACATTTACATTGAAACAAACTGGGATTTTAAAAACCATTGTTGAAAACAACAATGGACATTTATGGTTTGATTTCTTTGTATGTATGGATCACTTGGGTTGTTACCAACATCTGGTGAAAATTTCATGTC